TACATCAGATAATGCATTATGTATAATCCTTCAGCAGCTGAATAGTTTCTTGTGTTATCTTAGTCATATTACCTCCCTAGCAATACCAGGATAGCTGGATTTAATCGCTCGAATGGACATTAACCAGACACACCCACACCTACCACCTGGGAATAAGTTTAACAAGCACCACAATGTTCCCGTTACTGGCTTACTTGATTTAAACATCCATGTTCATTCCAATTAAAGTACATGAGTAGATGTACTCAAGATTTATGTTAAGAAAGCTAACAAGAAAGAGAGCACTGCACTGTGCTAATATGTGGCTGCATACTGGCGTTTACTATCTGAACTGTGATGCTTTAACAAGAATATTGTTCTTTTGTTTTGTTTTTAACAGAACACATTTAAAAAATGAAATTGTCATGGTAATAATCAGGCAATTAATCCTATGGCTTGATGTGTTTTCCATCTATGTTTAAGGATGAATCTAGAAGAGCACAAAATTTAATATCAGACTGGTGGCACAAAGTGTTTCTGGAAGATTTATAGCCTAATCAGTTAAGGTGACCATGTATCATGCTTTACAAAGAACAGGTCTCTGAAGCATTTTTAATGTCCAGTTTCATGGTAAAAAGTCACAACAAGGGAGAATAGGAATTTCAGGCTGTGTATCATCAGTAAGCATCTGGGCAATAGTACTTTTAGTAGAAATACTGAGCAGCTAGTCATAGACTTTCCACTGCAATGAAATGTACAAATGATAGTATTTGTGTTTAAATTTGCACCTAATGCATGCACTTTTATGCCCAATTTTGTTCTTGATTGTTCTGTTCACTCGGAAATACGTAATATTAGTCTGACACCAGGTCCCTATAGCTTATTCTCTTAAACAGGTACATGAGCTACAGACATCGTAAGAGACTAGATGGTCATTACACCAAAGGACAGCATTCATTGTCTTATCTTGAGTTGTCATAGACCATGATATCCAAATGGGATTGGAAAATTAAAGAACACAAGTGTGACTTCATTCTCATTTATTCCAATCTTTTATTTATTTGCTTATTCAATTTGTACAGCCACCCATCTCACCAAGTGACTGTGGGCAGTGAATAAAATAAAAACAATTACAATAATACAAAAATTAAAATACATACCAGCCAAGAATAAATCATACATCATAATCACCAAATTAATCAAGAAATGGGTACTGCACACACTCAGGGCCCAGGCCTAGGCACAGAACCAGGTCTTTAAGGACTTACAAAAAGCCATCAGGGCCAACCTGATCTCTGAAGGAAGAATGTTCCATAACAGATGCTATGGCAGAAAAAGCATGTCTTCTAGGCCCTGCCAACCAGCTTTCCTTAGCCGACAGGACCCAAAGTATGCCCATCCTGCCTGACCAGATTGGACAGTAGAAACAACTGGGAAGACTCAAGTAACCAGGTCCCAAGCCATGAAGGGCTTTAAAGTGGACAACCAGCACCTTGAATTGCACCTGGAATGACACTGGCAATCCATGCAATTCACTGGCCCTGATTCAAGGCTGATGTCCAAAGTGGAGCAAATCCAAATTACTTTATTCATCAGATGCCTAGTATATTCCTCACTGCAATCCTGTAGGTAAACCTCAGCTTTACTCCCACCCAGGAGGATCCAGGTTACCCGAAATAGAGCCGCTGGGCATCTCTCTGCGGATGCAATAAGGGAGGAGAAATAATTATCTTTGCCTGTCCTTACTGCCATGAGGTAGGTTCTAACAATGGCTCTAGCCCATGTTCAGTTGGGTTCGCACTTTATCTTCTGCCAGGCGTCTCTTCACCTGCTTCATCTCCCTCATCTCTTCCATAAACCATGGAGAATTCTGGGATCCATGGGCATGGAGAGGCTGCTTAGATGTGATCCTGTCAGGCCTAGCCCAAGGAAATCCAGGAGGCCATACAGAAATTATCCACCAAGGTTTATTAGCTACAACCCATATATAAGAATCTTCCCAGACTGGAGCCCAGTTCCCAGGCTCAGCCAGTTCATACCGATGGTATTTCTCAGGGAGGTGCCAATCTCCTCCACTTATCTCTTCCTTGCTCCTCTGGAGATGAGAGCACATTCTTTACTCCCCATACAGAAATTATCCACCAAGGTTTATTAGCTACAACCCATATATAAGAATCTTCCCAGACTGGAGCCCAGTTCCCAGGCTCAGCCAGTTCATACCGATGGTATTTCTCAGGGAGGTGCCAATCTCCTCCACTTATCTCTTCCTTGCTCCTCTGGAGATGAGAGCACATTCTTTACTCCCCTCCCACCATTCCAGTCCATCACAGATCCAATCCAAAGCCTCAGCTGCCCTCCCATTCCAGGCAGCCAGTAAGGCTTTGGTTGGACCATGCAGCAGACATTCTGGAACAGCCACAAGCTCTTTCTGAGTCGATCAGTCACCTACAGCAGACCGCTCTAATAGGTCCAGCCTCCCTGTGGAAGGGGGTGATGCCAAAGAACTGGAGGCTCACCAGGGAGTGATTTTCCCCAAATACAGAACACCTTGCCACTGCTCCAACAGAAAAACCAGGTCAGGTGTATGCATTGGGTCCTGGATGACCTGGGCAGGCCCATGGCTGTCATGGTGGCTATGAACTTCTGAGCTACCTCAGATCCCACCCCAAGTTGAAGTTCCATAAGACCACAAGCTTGGGGAACTCCACCGCCAACCTGGCTATGGAGTCTAGGAGCTCAGGCAAGGTGCTTGCTATGCAGCAGAGAGGTTGGTACAGTAGCAACAGTCTCAACTGATCCCTAGAACCCAACTTAACAAATAGGGTCTCGCACCCAGCGATCTGTGGGGCAGAGCCCCTGGATGCCTCCCAAGCATCTTGGATGACCATCGCCCCTATCATGGCTTCTTGGCTGATGCCACACCCAAAACCCAGCTGGGCACATCTCAGAAAGGGGACTCCTCCCCCTCAGCCCTAGCCAGGTTTCAATTAATACATGCCAGGTCGGCCCTCACCCACAATCAAGTCATGGATGAGGGTGGCCTTATTACAGACCAAGCTGGCAGCAGTAGTCATATTGTACTAGCCACATGTTTACCATTCTTCATTGGGTCTCTATCTGATCCATTAAATACTGAGGAGGGCATATGTCGTACTACCCTGCCTCATCATTATGATGTTCTGGAATATGTTCAAAACATCTGAAACTCCATTAAAATGGAGATTAAAAACAACCAATCTTGACAGATGATGTCTTATAATTGTTCATAAAGCCACCTCTTTTTATTGTATGAATCTCTTTCCTGTATGATAAGATACAGACCTTCAGTTAGGAAGCAGTTTATTGAATCAAACACACTGAAACAATATTAGCATGGAAAAGCTTGCTTACATTACTAACATCTGTGATAGTTAGGGCTACCAGATTTGAACTACAAAAACCTGGATGACAATTCAATGGCAGCAGATTAAAATATTAACTGTCATTTAGCCATCGTCCAGATTTTTGCAGCACATGTATACATATGTGTGTGTATATATATACACACATATATGCATATAAATACATAAATATATACACACACACACACTTAGTTCAGTACCAAGCTATTAGTCTAAGAGGTTCCCTTAGCTTGTATCTTTGGGAATCCTCCTCAATTTGTTTTTAATTTATCTTTTTTCTTTTCTTTTCATACATGTATTCTGTTGATTCAAAGTCTACATTTCAATATGTGATCAGATATGACTTTACTTCATTGGTTGAATTTTAGATAACTTAACATTAAAAATGATCACATGATATTTAGTTAGTAAATTATTTCCAGTTTAACTACTTTACCCTTTCAATTAACTGATGCATTTTAGCATTGCTATTTATTAACACAAATTACAGCCTTTTAATTATCTAAACTTTCCATATGAATATGATTGTGGAATAGTGTTAAAAAATAAGTTAAAGAAAGATAGCACATGGTTTATCTTTGTAGTTATCTTCTTTCACTTCCAGAGGCAACCATTTTTGGCCAGTTTAATAGAATCTTTTTCAGCTGTAGTAGATGGTAAAGGTGATAATAGAGGACCCTCAAAATGTTCTAACACTTATCTTAATGCTGCTAGTATTTATTTTTAAACCACAATTCCAAAAAGGTCCACATCGTCCAAGATGTGATGATTTGTAAATAATTGCTTTAAAAGTGGTAAACTACGATCTATAACCTGAGGAGGTAATAAAAACCAAGCAAGATGAAACGATGTAAATCAGAGCAGGCGATATTGCAGAAAATAAACCAGTGGGTGCTTTCCTAGATCAGATTAATGTTATTTAATGAAGTAATAATTGAAAGCATCCCATAGAAAACACTTGCTGTAGAGATTTTTCACAGACCATAACAGATTATATTTCATTCCTGCTATGATCCTGATTTGCATTTTTTAAAGCCCATACATTTCAAATACAAATGCGCAGTTTTGCTGGGAGTCTAAGATCTCCTAATATTGTAAATGACTCCTAAAAGCTCTTTTCAGGACTTTGACATTCATGCTTTTAATATACAAAGAAGTAGGAAATAGAGCCACTAATAAAGACCTGCATAAACATCTTTATATATATTCTCAGCATTGTAGGTTCCATTGGCTCCCCCCTCAGAGTTTTCAAAGCTTCTGTACATAATTTCCAAGAAAATACCTTTGTTTACATTGTAGTATTTGCACTGGGATACTTTTGAAGACATTTTTTCAACAGTATTGCTTCTAGATTCTAAATTTGCAATGATATAAAAATAAATTTTAAAAAATCAACTGTATATACTTAGAATAATCAAATATCTATCTTTCTACTAAAGGTTATAGCATAGCTAAATCTTACTTTGGTTCATACTTCATTGAATTCACTTGGTCAAAAGGGTAAAATAATAACCTTATCTCAGTGAGAACCGCTCCCTCCTCAAAATCCAAACTCTTCTTACATTTGCAGCCAAGAATTCCTTGATTTCCTTTATGCCAAAGTAAAAGACAATAACTCACCTTTATTGCAGTGAGGAACTGTATCATGTTTCAATGAGGCATTGCTTTCCTAATTCTTCTAGCAATGACAAAATCCAGGTGGACTTGAACAGCCATCTCAGTGTCAAGATGGGAGACAGACTTCCTCAGTGTCACAAATGATCTGTTGATGAATGGGAAAGTATCAGAGATCGGGCTATTAAAGTGAGTGATGTGGGAGCTAGAAAGTTAAATAAAATAGCCCTCAGAGTCTTAAGGAAATCTCAGGGAACAAGCCACATTAGCATTATGGATCATTGCCAGAACTGTAGCAATGATAACACTGTTTTCTGGAAATGTTAATATGTGTTCTTAAATATAATTAAATATGCAACCATATATCTCAAAATTTACAAGGAAAGGAAAAGCTAACAGGCATAATGAACTAAATGTAGTTGGAAGTTCCCCCCCCCCCATATTTGTTACACCATTACAATTATTATGTATCTATGAAAATTTACACTGACTTTTGCCTACTTATTCTCTGTTCCCTAATTACGCCAAAAGGAATTTGGCAAAACATGCAGCTATTCTATGAAAATAACTTACTTACAGTTATTAACAGAACTTAAGAAACAGGACTTGGTCTATTTCACCAAAGAAAGCAATCTTTCACAAAGAATTTCCATAGAGAACAATGAAAGATGCCAAGTTGTCAAAAGTGGAATATGTATGTCAAAAGACGGACTTAGAAAAAATAAGCTTCACTACTTTTAAATCATAGTTAAAACTGGTTCTGCAAAACTTGAGGAATGTGGACTGAAAAAAATGAAAGCAGATTCTTTAAATTAGGTGCAGTGAAGCAAATCCTCCCCCATTAACAGGTCCTTCGAAGAATATTTCCAGTATACTGGAGGTAAGAAGTACAGATTTCAGAGTTATCAGAAGATTAAAGTAGAGTAGATGAAATCAAAGTTCAAAAAGCTATTTATGTTGTTCATGATGCTCAAATAACATAAACTTAGAAGTGTTAACTAACTCAGGAAGACAGAGGAAGAAAATCAGAATAAATTGAAGAAATGTGTTACAAATTAATATGTGTCTTCTAAAATGTCTCTCAGTATTCCACTTTTATTCCAACCTGTTTTGGGAACATACAGTTGCATAAAACTAAAAGCTGTATTTTTCTTTTTATTAATGAATGCCTTTATGTAGACCCCCATGATAGCAAAGAAACATACAAGCTGAAATACAAAGCCTATCATTCAAAATATTAAACTATATTGACAAGCTGGTTTTACCAGCCAGTAAAGGATGATGATGATGTGCTGGATTGATAATGTAGGTTGATCCATAACCTACATTATGCATGGTTATATAACAAACTGTGGTTACCAAAGATTTGTCAAGGCAATATTACTTTCCTCGCTTATTAGAATAGGCAGTTATAATGAATATATGCCATTTGCATAATAGTTCATGGTCCTTAGCTAGCTATGCCTAAATATCCTAGGATAGATTATCTGCAGTGGCATAGCCATCCATGGATTACAACCTGTTTCTTCAGATTCATGCTGTGTCATCTTCAGGTGGCTTATTAATACAAATATTGACATTGTTAAACAAGCTTCTACATTTTTAAGGAAATCCTATTTACTATATCAATCTGCCCATGCATTGAGGACATTGTTAAATAAATACATTATTCTGCCTTAGTCAATCTTAAGATGGTTACATGATAGTTGACTGGAACACACTCTCTATATAGCTTTTTTTCCACTATTTTTTTTCATTTATTTTGGTTGTGTTTTTAATTGGTTTTTATTTTTTGGATTGTTTTATTGTGTATGCCACCCAGAGTCACTACGTAAGATGGGCGGCTATATAAATGTGGTAAATAAATAAATAAATCTTTATAAGCTGCACCTATCCATACAGACTGGACAGCATAAAACAGTTTAATAACATTTCAAAAAACAATCAGCTACATGAGATGATCACCCAAAGAAAACTAAAGGTCCAAAGCTGCTTTATATTGTAGATCTGAGTTTTTAAGCATTTTATATGTTTAATATTATTCTTAATAGTATTGCAATGGGCAAAATAATCCTCAATTAGTTTAATGGAGACTCTGCCCTAAAGTCACAATAGCATCTAAAGTTTTGCTGTATCTCTATCAGCCAGGGCAGGAGATAAGGGCAGTCTGAAATGTTTTGTTTTCTTCTTTTTTAAAACTTTTCTCTGAACTCAATGGAAAAGAAAAATCCCAATACCAGATTGAGCTATCAGAAGTATGGGATCCAATCCTAAAGCTTTACTGCATAATTGATAAAACCAGTGCCCAGTTTCCAAAACAACAAATTTCAGGGCCTATTCCTGGCAATGCGTTTAGGCCTGCAGATTTATTTCATCTCAGTTTTTTTTGGTATAGTTCTAACTGTATAGCATGGCTGTACAGTTGGATTTCCTACAATTTAGGATGCCAAATCGCTTTTACTTATCACAAATAAAAACTGGAATTTATGACAGAATAGCTTTGCCAGTTTTCCTTCTGATAAATGGATGCTTCATGACTAGCCACACCCACTATGGCAAGTATGTTGTGAAAATGTACACATCATCTCAAAATTCCAAACATGTTTACTGGCTAGAAAGGCTGAGGCTCCACATTTTTATGGTTGGAATTTAACTATACATGTAAATCATAAAAGTAATTTCTTTAGACAAACTTGATAGCATATTTAAAGCTGTAGCATGAGGTGATTGCTTGTAATCATTTCATTCCACATGATTTTTGTTTTCTCAAGAATAGGGTTACCAGATATCTGCACAGCTAAGGAGAACAAATGGGGAAGGGGACAGGGAGAGGAGGACACACTAACTGTTTAACTTTCTTGACATCCACAACAAAAATTACACTGAAAAACTAGGGGGGAAAGTACTTAGGCCTACATGAATATGAAATTTTTCCAGCATCAGAAAGACAGATTTTTTTTTTCCAGTTGCAGGAATGTGCTAGAGCTGGTTAGAAGGCAAAAGCCTTTAGAGTGTAACTAATTAAGATCTTGTCAATTTCAGACAGCACGGCAGGCAGGAGGATACTAATCAACTACTTAAGGTCACCCAGCAGAACTTCTTAACTTGTGGTTAGCACTTAATGGCAAAGCGCTGTGCCACAAAGGAAGGCTGCTCAGGAAGAGATACTCAAAAAGTTGGACAATATTTTATTTTAAGGCTACGCCTGCCAGTTGGAGGACGTGCCAGATGTCTGGTAACCCCACTCAAGATTAGCAATGATGTTATGAAAAAACAATATTTATTCTGTTTTCAGTCTAACATGAAAGTGCTAATGTTTGGAGTTACTTATGTTACTCCTTTTTATTATTTCTTGATATGTCTGAATGATATGAGAAGGTCTAATCAATATTTATGATTGATTACAAATTATTTCTTTATGTGGCCTATCATCACAAAGAAAATCTAATCTCATATAATATTCTGGACTGGTGAATATCTACTGTATTTGGTGACAGAACAATTTGTCTTCAAGGAAAAATAACTAAGTATTTAAGTCGCCATAAAAATGTGGCTATATTGTCACTTTGTTGGCTTCCTCAACTAAAAACAAGCTACCTAGTACTTAACTTTCTCGTTATATAACTGTTTATTTGGGGGGGGGGGAGGAAAACAATTAGCACAGAGGAATAATTTTACTATTCTGTTCCTAGATTATTTTAACTGTGAACACTTCGCTGAGCTTATTCCATATACCCTACTTGTCCCCATCAATTCTCAGTCCTCTTTTAATTTCACAGTTTAATTCATTGACAACTCCATCATGAAAGTTAATGATCAGCATTAGATAAAGAACTGGTTAATAAAATACTTTACTTAGTTGTTGTAACTCTAACTCCCTTTTCAATGTAAAATGCCTCCCTTCCCATTCTGCTTAAAACTGCATGTATATGTTTCAGGCTATATATATCTATATCTTCTATGTGCACATGTGTACAAATGTCTAACTTTTTTACACATGTGCACATTATTGGGGCCCTGGCCTGAATGATTGGCCAAATCTATGATTGTTGCACTTAATCACAAACCTATATTAATTTTTTTCTGTTAGGTTTTGTTTATTTCAGGCTCTGCATTTTTAACCTTTGAGTGATTGCAAACATTAAACAAATAAACCCCTAACAAGTCATGTTCAGTGTTTTTTTTTTTAAAAAAAAACTGGCCTAATTGAATGGTCTACATCAATGCTCTTGATCTACATTCAGCAGAACATAAGCCAAATTTGTTTTGCTGAACAAGTTAGCATTCCCCAGGAGACAGGGTTTGGATTCCCAGGCAAGCACTCCAATAATAAGTTGTCTGGTCTGCAAGCTTCCCAGAATTCCCTTCCTTGCCACTTCAGCCAGCCTCTCAGGCCAAAATATGCAAATTCCCCAAACTCAGAGTTTGAAAAAAGAATGGTGGAAAGTATTGTGGATTCACTAATCAAGACAGCCTCCACCTTGCTAGTGTTTCGAAGTGCCTTGAAGACCTGGCTCTGTGCCGAGGACTTTCAGAGGGTGAGTGAAGCCCCTTTGGTTTGTGTGCGTTTGTTTCTTTTCATTCCCATACTTTTTGGGAGAGTCATCTTTGTCAAATCTTTATTTTTGTCTATTATTTTTTCTTGTTTTTAATATTTTCATTTGTAACTGCCCAGAGTTGTGGGAAGTTGGGCAGCATAAGAGTAATAATAACAATAATAATAATAATAATATAACTTTTCACCATTCCCCAAATAGGAATGAAATATTTAACAATAAAAACTCAGAAAGATATCAGATGCAGGCAAACACCTCTTCATCCTCTTTTTCATGCCACCAATCTGTCTCTGATAGGACATTGGACTCTACATGGCATCTAAAGTGGGAATACTCCAAGGAATAGAGGATTGCTCTGTGAATAACAGAACTTCAGCAGGCATCACTGATGCACTCTGTTTTTCTCTATTTTTATGGGAGTGATAATTTGATTTGTTTTTCTCCTTTTTTTTTTTACTGAAACTGGTATCTTGAAATATTGCACAGTGATGTATATGCACAGATTATGAACTGGGATGAGGAGGTCTAGCAGGCCAGGCAAGGCCCATGGTCCGGAAGTTTCCAAACTGAACTTTGGCTAAAAAAAATAATAATAATAATCCTGAAACATACTGACAGACTGTTTTGATCCAGGGGACTGACTTCATCTTCAACCTAGCATTTTAACCTTCTTAGGATTTAGAAGAGTAGGAGTAACTAACTTCTATACATTCTTCTAGTAACTCACCATTCATGTGTGTGTGTATGATTTTTATTAAAGATTTTCATATAAGTAAAAGATAAACGAAAATGAAATTATATAGAGTGAAATTAAGAAAGAAAGAGATAAAAGATAAAAGAAGAAGTGGAAAAGACAGTGCAGGTAGAAGAAAAGAAAAGATATATAAAGAAGCTACTTCTGATCTTCTTTACAGCAGTTACAAACAAATTCATTATCTCTCCTTGCTCTTTAAACTTACAACATGGCTCTCTTCTTCCCATATTCAACCCTTTTTAATCAGCAAATCTATAAATCCAATTCATTTTTTTCATTTTCAGTAGAAAGTCCACAAGAGGCTTCCAACCTTTTATAAAAGTACTTGTTGTCTTATCCCTGCTCAAACAGGTCAGTTTCACCATTTCTGCAAGTTTCTGACATCTTCATGATCCATTGCTCCGTTGTCGGTATTTTTCCATCTTTGTGCATATAATAGTTTCACTGCAGTTACCATATACCCAATCGCTCTTCCATCAGTCTTATCTAACTGGCTATCCATAAGTTCCAAGTTACCATTCTAAAAAGAGGAGATATTATAAATTATTTTTTAATTTAATTTAAGTATATAAGTAATGTTAGTTGCATTAAATTTGACAGAAGATTTTAAATGCTCCCTTTTCTTTTGGTCCTTTTATGCTTTTGATAAAATTTGACTGCTTTAAAATACAAGAGCAGTGCAAAAGGTAATAAACTATGCATAAATGTTCTACAGGTAAAGAATAGAAAAATACTGAGGCAGAGTTTTAGGAAATGGCAGGAAAAGCACCCAAGTAATACAGACCTCCCAGAACAGCTGTTGGCAATCTCCATTCCATGGGTCTTGAGCAACTACAGTGGTTTTGGCCAATTCCCAAGATGATCAAGTTCCTCGCCACTATATATCAAGGCAATCTACCACAAAACCCAGCTCTTCCCTGGAAGGAAAATGAATACGGAAGAGAGTTTGTCAGAGCTTGTTTGGTTTTAAAAGCAAGAGGCCCTATTAGTGGCATGTTTTAAATATATAATGTCTATGGCCAGAATCCAAAATGTCATGTAGACCCCATGTCTTTTGGAGCCGCTTTTGATTGCTGACTGTACAGTTTCAGATATGTCTTCCTGACAGAACCCAGAAAAAGGAGTAAAAATTTATCAATTAAAAATAGAAAGACCAACCCTCTTCCACATCTTTTACAGTGGGGTAAGTACTTGCTTTGGAATGGCATGCTAGACACCACATTCCAAAACTAGGTAGGGCCAGTTACAGGTGTGCTTTAGGATAACTTTAGTTAATATGTTTGTTAATTGAAATTAGGTGACTGAAAATTTCCTCCTTTTTGTAATTAAAGATTACAACTCAAAGGCAGATTTCGGGAGGGAGGGTCTCCTGGATTTCACTCAAAACTTTCAGGCCATATGTTCACTAGAAGTTCATGTTCACTTTATTTTTAGAATTCCTCATTTTTAAAAAGAGGCAGCTGATGACAGGAAGACTAACAACATAGCAAGTTGTTAGGAAGACAATACTGTGCTAGAGAGATAAAGGGACTTGGGGAAATTTGCAATTGCTTAGTTAATGGATTCTAAAATTGATCTTATCAGTTAATAGCCATTCCCTCTGTTGAGCTTTCTTCTAAATGTATTGGCAACTTTAAAATCATGTTGGTATATCTGGACATGCCCAATACTCATGATCAGTCCATATCCATATCCATATTATCTATCTATCTATCTATCTATCTATCTATCTATCTATCTATCTATCTATCTACCTA